GACAGCGGTTAATTGGATAATTAGCCAAAACTGATATTCGGCTTTCGCAATTCCTTTTCTAGCCGTGTGAATCTCATAATGTAATTGAGTTTTGATATGACGTTTACATTTTTTTGTTAAAGAGAAAGTTCTATTTAGGCATTGACTTACAAATAAATGGACGACGGGTGTACAAAAACCACGAAAAAAATGTCCCAAGTCAACCTATTTAAACGTAGTGACATGTCAAGGAATATGAAAAAGCTAAAACGTTGAATTTAAATTGTAATGTCATCGCAGTACTGTCTAATTTTGCTTGCTTCGCTGTCAGTCGAACAAACGAAGACTAGAGCCTGAATGACGCTCTGTATACGATTTTAACGCCCTATAAGTTCGGACACTTTTTAGCGCGGACCCGACGTCCATATAATTGTAAGTCAATGTATTTAGGCCATATCTTGTGCACTGTAAGCTTGTAACAGGTTAAGCTTCGTATCTCACATCGGCTTCAACAATGACATAACTTGAAAATTGGCAAAAAGTGGCAACTGAAAATGTGATTGTTACGTTTTTGAATATATACCTCATGATAGGCGGCTGGACGTCAAATTGTGGACAACAGCCCCTTACACCATACAATATACCTACCCATGAGACACCAAAGCTAACCAAAGCCCTCCTTGTCATAAGTACACATTTGCACTGCATAAGTTTTTTTTGAAAGAGTTGAATCAATTACTTTGAAAAAAATATATAATAAAATTGAGGATGTACACTGATTAGTACACAGTGTGAAAACACGATTCCTAAAAGTTTTAACGATAGAAAAAAACACAAACTTGCCTCGAAATTTTACAACAAAACCGCCGTATTCAATAGGTACTTTATATATACCAATGATTTTTTTTTATATATCAATATAACTAAATAGAACACGTGTAGTATACGATATACATTTTTCAATTGGGTTAAAATTTCGTTTGTAAAAGAAAGGTATTCTAAAATCAAATCAAATCAAATCTTTGTGATACACAGGTTATAAACTTGTTACAAGAATGAATTTTGAATCACTGTGATCCGCCTTATGGCATACAAAGTTTTCTTAGTTTTAGTAATTAGAATAGAATAGAATAGAAATCCTTTATTACTACGCCACAACAAAAATATAGACAGTAATAAAATGAAGATAAAAAAAGATGAAGCTACATTAAAACAAAAAATTAAATAAAAATAACTGGAAAAAAAAGCAAACATGAAATATTTAACACAATTAGGTTAAGTGTCATGTGCGCGGCTGTGGCGTATGTAACAGGATCCCACTCAGCTATTGTCACCACCGAGAAAAGGCTGTGACGCTGATTTTCAGTGGGCCCTAAAACCGAGTGAGTACCGGACGTGTGTGTCGCGAATACACGAGTAAACTTAAATAAATTATTAATTCTCATGCAATAATTTGTAATAATATTATAATCATGCAGTCCAAGTAATGAAACCTAATACTAATGAAACATAATAAAAATAATCAATAACAAATTTAACAATATGAAATGCAAATTTTATAAGAAATCTTCAATATTATAGAATGTCCTATTACCTAAAGGTAATTAAATAATAATTTCTTAAATTCTGCACAATCGTTGCAATTCCTAATTTCAAGTGAAAGTTTGTTATAAACCTTCGTAGCCATTACTATTACACTCTTTTGAAGTAGAGCAGTTTTACATGATCTACTTTTCAGTTGACGAGAACGGCGGGCTCGGGTGACGAATTCAAATAAATGACGATGACGCTTTACGAAAAGTGAAATTTCAAATATATATAAGCATGGTAGAGTCAGTATTTTCAAATATTTTAAATGTGGTTGACAGCTATCTGTTTTTTTTTCAATTCTAATTCTAATCAATAAATTTCAATTATAATTCTAATTTTAATTCTGTGTTTTTAAAATAAAGCTAGTGTCCCTGCTGCTCGACCCAACCAAGATGAATCGTATTAGCACGGGAAAAATTTGAATTTGAGCAGAGGAAGTATCGCATCTTAAGAAGAAAACTGAAACTAAATGAGATATTAAAAAACCGATTAGATGTGGTTGTGGGCCACGTTTTGTAGATCTAGATATGTTAATAGCTCTATTTTGCTAAAAATGTCGATAACGTTAGTTATGGATAAGGAGGGTAGTATAGTCCTGCGACGTTGTTAATACAAATAACCGTGTGTAATATTTCTTGTTTTAATCACTAATTAACAATAAATCATATGCTTACGCAACAACATATTTACAACATTCCAACGACACTACCGTCAGAAATAATGTTGGGGTAAATTACCCAATTGTGCTACACCCAATCGTGTTGTCACGTACGCGTCGGCTCGCACGTTCTCGTATCTTGCAATCTGCGCAGGAGTGGCGAATAAGTTCTGATACCCTAATTACGTTAGTGCTTTACAATGTATTGTGATATTGTATGAGATAGTTTAGAAATACGTTTTCAAAATATTGGTAATTGAATTTTTTTTTAAATTAATCGAATTTACCGTCACTGCGGTCTTTTTTAATAATACTATAAAGCCTAAATCAAGTATGCTTTGAAAACGAATTAATCGAGATATAAATTAATATCAAAGTAATATCTTTTTCATTATTACTCTTCACTTTTCGATATGGTCCAACTGCTAGGCATGGGTCCCTGCGAAAGATAAGTAAGACCCCAAAGTGAGTTCTTTTCTTTATAAAAGTTACTTGAGGACATAAGACAGCTCCGAAGAATTGTGTGAACTATTTTTGGACAGGACTCATCACGATGTTGCAATTGTGTGAACTGTCTGTCTCCCTACTACCACTAATAATAGGGTAAGCAGAGACTACGGAAATCCTTGTTACTTTCCTGACATATCTTATCTGCCAGTCTCCAAAGAAATCAAGCAAGTTAAAATAATTGCCTTGTCAAATTGCCCATGAATTCAAACCGCTTAGTGACGCAGGCCGGTAATGGGATTCGAACCCTGATCCTCCAATATGCAAACGTTCTTCCAACTAAACTACCAATATTGGCACTAGGAAATTCACATTACCATCAAAAGTAATTATTATTAAAAAATTAATTATCATTTAGTCAAATATAAACATGTTACGGATAATTTATATCCGAAATAATAAGTGGTACACATTGACAGATCTTATTCCGTTGCAACCAATGGAGGGGATGTTCTAACAAAAGTGTAGGGCTTGACGTACTGTTGACTGTACTTTAATAAGTAGTTAAAAACAACCTAATAAACCTAAAACCCGTTAAGTGCAAATCCTGCCGTTCAGAACAATGTCGATTGTCAGATAGGCTGGCATTTAACTATTTTCCACATAGGTAAATTATATAATTACCCATTCAACTAGAAAGGGCATAGATTCGATTCCCGATTGCGACCACGCTGGTGTTTGCTACGTGGTATTATTTTAATCTGTAGTTAATTGCCAATGCAAATACAATACGTTGTAGTACAATGCAATACAATACAATTCAATTTCGCACAAGAGCAAAATGCAAAAGACAAACAAATCGCCTCCTCCGACGTAAAGTATCGTATGTCGAAATTGCCAAGTTTACAGGGGAGCGTTTTAAAGGTCTCCGTTTTATTCGGCAAAGCTCATTACTCACATAGAGTGATAATCTAATAGATCATCTAACCGATATCTTGGATTTTATAATACTCTATGTGAGTAACGAGCTTTGATGAATAAAACTAAGAAATGCTAAAGTCACGTGTTAGGCTTATATAAGTGAATTCAGAACTTTAAAAGGCTCCCCTGTAAACTTGGCAATTTCGACATACGATATTTTACGTAGGAGAGGTCGAAATGACAGGCATTTAATAGCATCATCGAGCTCCTTGTGAAAGAGTTAGTCCAGGGTTACCTATTTCTGCAGCGAAGCATTACTGATTGGCCGATTTTGAAGGGTAAATAAAAAGTAAACTATAAAAAAATAAAGTCATTGCTTTAAATCGCAAAGATCTGAGGTCTCGGATCGCACTACGCCTGTCACCCTGACACATAAGTTGACAAGTCCCGTGTGCCTGTAATGTGAGTGGCACTGCAACTGTTATAGACAGGCGTGTCGCTTACCACCAGGTGCACGACTCGTTCGTCCCGTCACTTGGTAATATAAAAAAAAACACAAATGAGCCCTAGTTGTTTTATAAATAAATTGTTATTATTATTCAAATGCAGAAAACAAAATGTATATCGATCTACAACTCCCAAAAATAGAAGGGGAACGCCATTGACTTACAAATTAATGGACGACGGGTCTAATACAAAAACCACGAAAAAAATGTCCCAAGCCAACCTATTTAAACGTAGTGACATGTAAAGGAATATGAAAAAGCTAAAACGTTGAATTTAAATTGTAATGTCATCGCAGTACTGTATAATTTTGCTTGCTTCGCTGTCAGTCGAACAAACGAAGACTAAAGCGTGAATGACGCTCTGTATACGATACGCCTTATAAGTTCGGACACTTTTGAGCGCGGATTCGACGTCCATATAATTGTAAATCAATGGGGAACGCAAAATAAATCATGCAATACCTTAAAGTCTCCCTTTAATATCAAATCCTAAACAGTTTAAGTATACGACTTAAACTATTGAGAAATAGCGATAAAAAGGTGGAATGACGATGTAAGGAGGTCACATCGTCACACACACATAGCTAGACACCTACAAATTACACCCAAACTCACGAGAGAAATAAATGTAGGTCATACAAGTACTTCTCCTGGCCCGGGAATCGAACCCGGGAACTCTGCGTGGCAGTCTAGCACGGTAACCGTTCGTCTACGTCAGTTAATAATTAGAGGATGTAAGGATACGAGATATACGTTTTGGAATTAAAAATTTTTAGAAAAATATATTTCACCATGTATTTTAATGTCCATGTGTCTTTTTAGTAAATAAGGCGATTATCTATCCAGTTTGTCGCACAATCACTTAATAATTTAATTAATTAAAAAACATTTTGTTACAGAGATGGCAACGGAGATGGTTCGTGCTGTACGACGACGGCGAACTAACATATTCCTTGGACGAACATGTGAGTACTCACATAATTTATAACTTATAAGCAGTCATCTGAATTGAGGTGGTTAATTTACCTAAAATATGAACGGTTTTGGACATACCCATTTAATTTAATAATGTTTCTGCAAATAATCGAATTTACCCAATGTGTAGAACATATAAAAAAATATGTATATAATAAAAAAATGGAGTAGGTTCTCAACTCGACTGTATATATTTTTTTTGTATATATGTAATGCGATAACTCCGGTATTTGTGAACTGATTTTGATGATTCTTTTTGTGTTGGAAAGAGGGTACCTTCATAGTGGTCCCATTTCATTTTGAAGAAAATCATCCACCTCTAAGGGTCGCTGTTCACGCATGAAGATTCATAAAAAAGAATCTAATATGTGTCTAATATAAAATGAAAATAAATAGCGCCTAAATTTTATTACAAGGCGCAACTATTTTAATGGTTGATTTTGCTATTCTCCAATTCAAGGCGTTTTTCTCTCTCAACATACTTCGAGTAGTGAGAACCGATTTTTATTATCTCCTGTATCAAGTCCCGCATAGTGGTGAACTAGGGGATGAATCCGGGTTTGCGCACTGTCCGGTAACCGATTTCAATAAAATTTGGTAATTTTATGTACTCCACTTACTTTTGAGGTCGGTTTTTTTAGTACTCTGTACTGATTAGTAGTTATTATTAGTTCATAAGATCGCACAATCTATAGTTTTCTGCTGCTTACTACTTATAAGCTTCTTCTTATCATATCGATGACATACACTATAACTGCTGTGGCCCATAGCCTCAGCTACACCGAGAGTTAGTGTCACAGGGTGAGGTGGGCAAAGAGACTTCTTTAGTGCTCATCGGTAGGACGTGCTTGCCATCGTGGAGAAAGAATTTGCCAATTGGCGCAAGGTACACGCTCTAAGTACTCGTACCAAGGTACTTGTTTAATATAGTAAAAGACCATGTCGCAGGTCGTTGTTGTTAAAGCTTTTTTTTACAATATCGAGTGCCGAGATGAACAAGTCGTGCGCCTGGTGGTAAGCGACACGCATATCTATAACAGTTGCAGTGCCATTCAGAGCTTTAAATCGCAAAGATTTGAAGGGCACTGCCACTGCGCCTGTCACCCTGAGACATAAGTTGACAAGTCCTATGTAATTTCACCAGCAGCAAAAACCGGAACGCACCAGAACCACCAGATGCGCGACTTGATCGTCCTGTCACTACACACAGACATAAGTTGACAAGTCCCATGTGCCTGTAATTTCACCAACACCCTTACCCTTTACAACCGGAACGCAGTAATGTGACCATTACTGCTTGGCGGTAGAAACAGGTAAGGTGGCAGTACTTCCCAAGAGTTTGTTTCCGTAATGTCTTTGTTAAAGCTTTTGTTAATTGTTAATATTTTGTAATAGATAATTAAAATTGTAAAAAATGAGAACCTCCTTATCTAATCCCTCATTTACATTTTGACAGTAACATTTCTTTGTTTACATTTAATCTAAATTTCTAAAATCTTTAGATATGTAATTATTATACAAACTATAAACTAATACATTCATAAACTGTTCAATTACAATTTACATACAAGGCTATCACAATCAAAATAATATCTTACATACATATTCATACAATCCACAATTCCACATGAATGTTTCATACGCGTCCTTTTATAGTAAGGTAGAAAAACACAGCCAGCAATAGTTGCTCGTACCCTACTGGGGCAAACAGGAAGGATGGAATACATGGGAAAATATATCAGATGACTGGATTCATTTACGAGTATTTATCTTGAACGCGACGCTGTGACTTGGACAACCGCCATACTTCTTCTACGTATCGCATATATGACAAGAATGCTTTTTTATTATAATTTTTCGTATCGCGGATAAATACATGTTCTACGAATTTTGTTAAAGCGCATTTATAATTTTATAACATACATTATTGATTTTATTGAAAATATATTTTTTGTGAAATTACTTCACTAGTTTGTTATAAATATTTAAAAACGTAAAACCGGGCATGCTAATGATATATGCAAATACAGCGGACGAATTATCGGAAGAAAAACAAAGAAGTAGCTCAAAATGTACATTAAATTACCAAAAGATTTAACTGCCTCCGTGGCCGAACGGTTACCATGCCGGACTGCCACCCAGGTTCGATTCCCGGGCCGGGAGAAATATTTGTATGGCCTACATTTATTTCTCTCGTGAGTTTGGGTGTAATTTGTGGTTGTCTATGTGTGTGTCCATGGCACTCGCGACACAGGGTTTCCCTAGTGCGGGGCTATGTTGATTGTGAGCGTTATTATTATTATAAAAGATATTGAGAAAATACAGCCGTTCCAATTATTCAAAAATAAATTAAAATTCCACATTATGAGTAGATTCTCACAGTTTTGATGTTTTTATTTCTCTAAGTAATTGCTGTTAAAGTGTAAACACCAATTTGTTTTTCTTATAATATCAAGTGACGGAACGAACAAGTCATTCGCCTGAGTAAGCTACACGCCTGTCCGTAACAGTTGCATTGCCACTCAGAGCTTTAAATTGCAAAGATCTGAAGGGCACTACCACTGCGCCCGCCATCCTGAGACATAAGTTGACAAGTCCTATGTAATTTCACCAGCAGCAAAAACCGGAACGCACCAGAACCACCAGATGCGCGACTTGATCGTTCTGTCACTAACTAAACTTCAATAAATATTTTTTTAAACTATAATTTATTTTCAACATGAACTAAATTAATTGAATACATATTGAAAGTAAAGTAATAAATAATAAGCAATCCGTTAGACACCCCAAAAATGACACCAAATACAAATAACCTGTTAACATTTATTGAAGTTCGATTAGTGACAGGACGCATTGTAGGAATACGTTGAAATAATTCACCAGCACCCGAACTGAAACGCATGTTATCATATTACTGCTTGGCGGCAAAAATTGGTAAGGTGTCAGTACTTCCCAGGATGAACGCCTTATAAGTTCGGACACTTTTTAGCGCGGACCCGACGTCTATATAATTGTAAGTCAATGAGTTCAAGAGACTTAATATACATAATAATTTGTAAAACCCTGACAATCTCGTAGGACTATATTTACCTATGTAAACAGCACCGGACTGTTGTTTACGCTGTTCTCTAGCGCATTGTTTTGGTAATGCATAGAGTTATCACAGTTTAAAGATATCAATTTAAATGTTTTTATTTTTGTATGAAAGTAAAATTTGATGAAACTGTTTAATTAAAGGACATAGAACAAAAAATGTCCTTCATGATGTTAATAATATTGTCCTTCAAGGTTGTTGGAATATTACAAATAACCCTGAGTCGTATTTTGCGCGTTACATTGTATAATTGTATCACACTCGAACAAATAGTTATTGTAGTTATATATTCATTTATTGTGAACAAATTCTATGTAATACATGTGTGAATTTCATCGGGCCCACCCCGCGCGTAGTCACCGAGCGGAGTCCGCGTTCGTGTAACTGTCATGGCAAAATACGCTTTATTTGTTTAGCTTTTACGTTTTAACTTAAATAAGCGTCCCGGGCATGAGTCTGGCTCGAATTTGATCTACGCGGCGGCCCGCGCGGCGACCGCGCGGTTGTGTTATTCAGAGAAATTTAAGTGTTGTTGCTTAGCAAATACAATCCAGATTCGCCATTAATGTACATGAAGGCGAGGTACCAGGGCGGTCGACGCGCGGCGGCCGCGGTAATTGTTCATTTAATTGCAGTCATTATTTCCGTTATGGCCGCCACTAGGCTAGTGTCAGATGTTATTTCAGAAATTTGAATTGCAGATGACATTGTTTTTTATTTATTAAGGCTTTGGCAAAGCCATCAGCCTAAACATGAAGTTTAATTATGTTTCTGTAAATATGGCCGCCACAAAGAGGATAGGCAATTTGAGGCGGCGTGCTTGGATTGACTCGGGATTCCTTCAAACGGGCCGATACGGGTATTTTAGTTCGAGATTCGTATAATTTCGCGTTTTAATCTTCGATTAAGGCACAATAGCACTATCCTATTCCACTTTAAACTAGATTTCACAAAATAATTGAAAGTTAAAATAAAAACGACGCTTTTCCCTCCAAAAGGTCCAGAGCGAATCCAGATGACATTTTACTTTTATATCGATGTTGCCAATTATTATTTCATAATGCCATAGAATTGAAAAGTACTTTGTGCCATAGACTGTGTCACAATCATAGACTTTGCTTGCGATCTGCCATCTGTTATCATCTTCTGGTATTATTGTTGGTCGTAGACAATACCGCCAAAACTGTTCCTCTATGGCGCTTGGCGGTTTTGGCGGGAAGAAATTATTGTATCTTTTGTATCGGGTCTTTTCCATTCATCGAGTACCTGTATAACCAGAAATAGAGACGAAATAAGGGTCATTCACTTTTAAATATCAACTCTCTTTTGCGCTAAAATCACAAATTATAAAACTGAAATAATACAGTGCCAACAACAAACCTGTGTGTACGTCTCCGTATACTCCAAAAATATTCTGTATTTATTGTAATAACGATAATATCTCTAACATTTGGGGCTATTCCATTCGGTGGTGTGGGAAAAGCAGCAAAACATCCAATTACAAAACAAACGGAATCACATTTCATCGGCAGTTAAATATTAAATATGTAATTTTTCAATTTTCGTCCATTATACCAAAGCTGAAGTTAAACTGGCCTACATGAAACAATTAACGACATCCGTCAATTGTTTCGAATTCGGGCTGGCCAATCGGAGCGCCGTAGTCACAGTAATTATTTGGCAGAATAGTTTTCAAACAAAATAACATGTCGTCTCTATTTGTGGTTATACTCGATGTTTCCATTGCACTCTGGCTGGAGAAATAAACATCACACCACCAGCGAATTAGTTTCATTTAATAGTATGTTTGAGTCTCTTGAACTAATTTTTTTTAAACTATAATTTGTTTTCACAACTTGAACTTAATTAATTTCAATTCATATTGAAAGTAAAGTA